CCTGCTGAGCCAGTACGCTTTAATTTGGAATTATCAGAAAAGATGCAACTCCAACATGAATTCTCGTCTTCAAAATACTAAAATGAGCAAGAAATCACAGCCTTTAAGTGTTCAAGGCACTTTAATGATGGTGAAGGTCAAAGGCAACGTGCAGACCTGTAGAAGTGAGGAGGTGTCAGAGACTAATGTAATTCTTATTTCCACTGGAGTAAGTGGACTGAAGCTTAGGGTGGAAGAAGCGGGGAGAATGCAGGCGGGCTATTTGGTGCTGCATGGAGACGGAGGGACTGCAGTCAACAGTAACACAAAGGACATTCCCAAGCATTGCTCCATCGTTTGATAGCATCTCAGAAACCACAAGGATGCTCCTGCCCTTACGGCAGCAATTAGAGGGAACACAGAAAAGGGAAGCGTAGCTTTTAGAGAAAGGGGCTTTGTGACATGATGGTGCTGGGACTAGCGATTTCTCTTTGGTGATCAGCTCCAGCTGGGAGAGTGGGCGAACAGGGGGAAGCAGGTGGCTCCTGAGAGACTCCACCAGGAAGAAGACTATAGAACTATAGACTGTGCTGCAGTGTGAGTCCTAGAGTTAAGAGGAGGGTAGAAAGTGAAAGGTTAATGCTTTTTGTTTTGTTTTATTTATTTATTTATTTGTTTGTTTGTTTATTAAAGAGTAAGAGCCTTAGCTTGTATTGTGATCTTGCAGGGTTTTTTGAGTTAACAATAGAAAGTGTATTTGTGAAAGATGTTGAAAAAGCCCTGGTCGCTGCATTGAGCTCTTCCTGGGTGAGTAAATATTGTACTAGCTCATACTACAGCAACATAAAAAAGAAACACTTTAGCAAGTTCTTACTACCTGTTTGGGTAATGCAGCTTTGTTTGTGCTCAGTTAAAAGGAAACTTTAAAGGTAAAAGTTTTGTATTCTTTCTGTATGGCAGTCCCAGACACAACATAACCAGGCCCTTCTAGTAACTAATAACTGATCAACATAACAACTGATGCCAGTGATCCTGGACTTGTTGTGTGGCTGGGAACCAATATAATTTGCAAGTACACGAATTCAGTAATTCTGCAAATTAACTGATGAATTCTTGAGTCTTCTGCCTTCTAAAATCAAGCAGCGAGATAATATATTGGCAGGAAGGAAAGGGAGAAATTCACTTGCAGAGGCTCGCTAGGCTCAAGAGAGATCTCCGCAAAGCTTGGGAAAATAGCTTTCTGTGGCTCTGCTGAGTTACTGTTTAATTACTTAGCCAGATATGACCTTGCACAACTTCTATAATACAAGGGACTAGGAGATCTTTTGTGCTAAACAGAGCCCATAATAACACCGCTTTCTAATCTCTGTTTCTCTAGCTGATGCCGCCCTTTATAAAACTATATATATCCCTGAAGCACCTAATTGAGAAATGGCTTTGTGAAGGGATAAAAACATTTAAGTTGCAGGAAGTAATTACACAGGAACAGTGTTACTCGTCTCTTTATTGTTACATATAAATACTGTTATCAGAAGACTCATTTCTAGTCATGTGTCCTTTGTGTTGGCGGTTATTATACATTTGGTCACTGGAAGGAAATGCCGAAGAGGTTGAGCAGAGTGAGGTTAATTAGTTGTATTTTTAATACAGTTTAGGAGGTGTGTAACCATTCATTTGCAGTTTTCTTGCACGCACCTGGGAATCTGCCTTGTGTGAAAGTGTTCCCAAGGGACACCGGTGTGCGTGGCACCTTAGGAGAGCCTAACAGAGTCCGTATAACTCTGCAAAGCGAACCTATGCTGTTTGCAGTAACAAATGCTAAGAACTGAAGGAACTGGAGAAGAAGTGATGTGGCATGATGCAGTGGATTGTACTGTGTTGAGAAATTGTTTCATTACAAGCACTGCTTTATACGGTTCTCTCGTTTTGTTTTTGAAAGCACTGTATAAATAACAAATATGTTCTTTTATGTTGGTGATGCTGATGTTTTAAACTTGCATTGCAGGGGACAGGATGAAATGAGTTTTGAGGTTCATGACATTATAAATGTGGACTGTGGGGGGTTTTTTGTTTGGTTTTTTGGGGTTGGGGGGTTTTTTGGTGCTAAATATACCTGTAATATGCAGTTCAGGAAAGAAAGGAGATGATCCAAATTCTGCCACGTTCTTGTTGAACAACATACAGAGCGTGTGCTAATCCCACTAGCTATCAGAGCCATTCACGCTTCCACCCTTATCATACCCTTACAGGACAAGCACAACCTGCCCCTAAATCTCACGGTGCCTCCGTGTGTCAGAAACAGCCTCTCACCTGCTGTGAAAACGCAACGTGCTCGGAGCAGCTGGCCACAGCTGCTGCTTCAAAATGCATGGCAATACTTTGACATCACTCAAATATCAGCCTCTTAAATATTGTCTCCCTTTGCTATTTTGCCTTTCGAGCAAAGAAGCTGCTCTGCCTTAAGGGGTGAAGGCAGGCCCACTGGTTCTTAATTGCCTCTTTCCCCCAGTGACTTACTTGGGAGATTGTTCTCTAACTGGCTGTAATTATCCTTTACTGTAAACTAACCAAAGTACTCTCTGATTTCAGTGTTACGTTCATTAGCAAGCATCCTGTTTTGAATGTTAATGTATTCTGGGAATGTCCAGTCTATAAGAATGGACTGATTTGTGTAGCAAGCATTTGTGAAATACCCTGAGGAAAAAATTTGTACCACGTAACTGATTTGAAATGAAACCCACTATGTTAAGGACAGAATATCAATGGATGGTCAAGTTGCAGAGTGGCTTTACATGTGAACATCGTCCAAAAGGGAGATAAACTTTTTATTGTCCCCAAAAGAGTGCTTGATGGGAAGGCTGGTTCTGAGCCTGTGCCTGCAAAAGACTTCTCCCCATGGTGGGTGTTTGTGGCATGATTTCTTGTTTGAGGCAAAGAGAGGATTTATCCTGTGAGTGGCACTACTGGTGGCTTTGCAATGGAAGTGCATGGGAGAAATGAGGGAAGAATGAAAGCTTCCCTTCATACCTTGACTCAAACATAATCCATAGAAAGAAGGCTCACCACACATTCCTTTAAAAAAAAACAAAAAAAATTTCTGAATCCTAGCAAATACGTTATTTTCAAGGTATTCAGCAGTGTGGACTGCTTGGTTTTCAGATAGGTAAATGTGTGCAGCATATAAAAGTGATGCTGAATGCTTTTAACAGCTACGGTTCTGCCACCCAGCTCCTACTCAAGCCCCTGGATCTGGAGTTTACTGCCGTGTCTCCTAGAATGAGCAATGAAGCATGGCTGCTCTGCCAAGCACAGGTGGAAAGGCTTGCCTAGTAATGTTGATCACTGGGTAATAAAGGAGCTGACTTGAGATTATTCCAGTCAAAAGTATGATTTGAATTTCCAAGTGACTCTGCGTGGACACTCTTCTTATAGTAATAGGGGGTCTTTAACCAATGTAGAATAATAGACTTCCTTAGTGGAGCAAACCACATCAGAAAAAGACGCTCTCAAAAATGTGCAGGCGGAAAGCTATTGCTGAAAAACTTGTTCCACAATTGCCTTTTCAGTTAATTTCCTCTTGTAGACAAGCCCTTTCTCAGAGCATTTTATCATATATTTCCGGAGGGAGAGCACTTGATCACTGAGCTTGTGCACGGTGCTCAGATCTCAAGACACCAGGCGCTCGGAGTGCCTGGTGCTAGAAATCAGCCCTGATGAGCATTCATATGCCTGGTTTGGCTAATAGAATTACCCCAACTGTTCTGATGTGCAAAATTGTTTTAATTGTATATGAGACTACTGCTTTTGTTGGGTATTTTAGTCCTTCTCTTAATGATCTGGATGAGGAAGCAGATGAACACTGAAGTTGTAGAAACAGAAATAAGAATTAAGAAACAAAATAGAAGTCTGTGTTTAAAAACAAAAGGCTTGCTTATTGCTCATGAAAGCATTGGGGTATTTACAGGGGAAAAAGCCTCTAGAATAAAGGCTTGAGAATGTGATGTTGCATGCTTAGGAACTTCAATTAATCTCTGCATACGATGATTCCCACATGTGGAAAATTGCAAGGAAATAACTGTCATGCAATTGAGTTCTGTCTATTCTTTCCAAGTTGCACACATCTTTGAAAATTACTCTGAACAAATTTAATGGTGTCCCTGGATACTACAGACTATGAAAATAAGTTTGAAAGAGCCCCCGAAGGACAGTCTGTGGGCTTTTCACCATAGCAGATGGTTATGTCATTTGCTGAAGTGCAGGCTATGCTTCCATCCTGTCACTGGTAACTTTAAATGCTTGTCTCCTAATGAAAACTATCCTGTTAATTCTTGTAAGTCAAAATGTGACTAACTTTTTCAGGCTTTTTTTGCTTTTGCTCTTTTTGTTCTTTTTAAAAATAGTGATAGTTATGTAAGATTTAAAAAGGCAACCATCTTCTATTGTTCTGTCTACTTTTCAGAAATAGTAAAAGAAAGAATACAGAAAATGCCTATAAATGGTATTTATATATATGCCACACACATGTATGTGTATGTCTGTATGCGCATAGGGAAAAACAAATTAATGCCGTGTAAAGCATGTGTTGTTATCTAAAACTTCAGATATCTCAGCAGCAAACTTGCTCCAGAAACAGAGATCCTTTTATTTAGTTTAAAGAAAGATCTCTGTTATGTGAGCTATAAAAAGTCTCCTTTGTTACCCAGGTGCTCTGGGTGAAGCCCTTGAGCACAGCCTATATAAGCAAGAGGCAGCCAGTACGTTCACTATATGCATTACTGTATGAGGCCATCTCTATGTATCAACGTATATACACATGCATGAACGCATCTCTGTATGTATGTGGGTAAACAGACTTTTAAAGTAATCTCAGGTTATGGTTTCTTTATCTGCCAGCTACGCTTGTGCACTTTCAGCCTTTACTAGGAAATGGAGCTTGCCAGCTTTTTCAAGCTTTGTCTCTTTTTAAATACCCATTTGCACATACATGTATCTGGGATGGTATCCCCCAATTCTCACCTTACCTTCACATCGTTGATGTTCATCCTCGTTCCCTCCTTCCCAACAAAGATGTCATCTATGTCAACCAGAATGTACCTATCCAAGGACAGTGTGAGCTTCTTCCCCGACAGGAAAGAGATTGCATCAATGAAGATCAGTTTGTGCAACCAGAAGGTCAGGTTGTTTCCAAAAAGGACTCTCTGAATCCCGTCATGAAGCCCCAAGTCTTGGATGACTGTTGCATACAGAGCAGCCTTTGGCAATGCCGTGGGGGGTGGTCTGGAGGTCTGCAGTTCGGTTAAAAGCACAGGTTGATAGGTGGAATGGTTAAACTGAAAGACTGTCCAGTCTTCGCCAGGCAGTGGACCTTTCTCAACCCTTGGCGCTTTGGTAATGCGCAGCAGGGGAGACTGAGGGTTTACCACACAGTCTTTGAGGGCTACATTATTGTAAAGATGTAATGGCAATCCTTTCAGTTTTGTACTTGGGGAGCTGTTCTCGTTGGCTTTATGAAAACCAATTATGCTAACACTGTATTCCACACAGTATTTTTCCAGAAGCTCTCTATTCCACGAGTCCATGGATACATACTTTAAAATATTCTCATATATAACAATCGTGTATTTTCCTCTTCCGCTGTCTGTGAGAGGGGGAATATCCCCCTTAGCTGGCGCGATGACCATGTGGTACTGAAATCTGCTGGACTCGAGGATGGCTACGATGTCTTGCCCCAGCTGGGAGTACTGGCTTTCCACAAACAGGAGGACAGTGGGATCAGTTTTAGACGGATCAATTGGCTTAGCTGTTTTCAGCTCCACGGACCTGTACGGTAGAAGCTTGAGGCCTTCGCACTCCGCTTCTCCGGTGGTTTCCACGAGGGCCATTTCCTGCTTGTAGCCGGTGTAGAGGTAATAGGCAGAAATGATGATACTTGCCAGGCAGAAGGTTGCCAGGAGAATGACCAGTGTTCTGAAACTTCTGCGGAGCTTCACGATTAGATTCATCTTTCGCAGGACTTCCAACTTCTGTTAGACTTGCCACTTTTTTGGTTCTCTCTTCCTAAAGTGCCATAGGAACGAGGAGATGCAGAGGTGCTGATTCCCCTCCCAAGACGTTCATGTGACCATTGCAGTGCATTTATGAAGCTGTCGGGGAAGTTATAAAGCTGTTGGAGCGGGAAGTCAAAGGATCCGGAAAGCTAAAGTGAAAGAGGTTTTCTCAGAATGCAGCAGCTGCCAATAATCAATGAAGAGGACTCTTAACATTATCTGCAACAAGAAGTAAAAGAAGAGTAAATAAAATAAAATCCATAAAGCAATTAAAAACACACGTTAATAAAGATGGTGATTGATACTGGTAATCTGAGTTAAGAGGGAAGTTTATGAACAGTTCAAGGAGCACTCGGTGTCACTTGCTTTCTTGATGTATTAAGATAAGCTGCATTAAACAGCTCTTCCATATTCTTAGGGTATAAAAATGAAGTCTGAACATAACTTTTTGAGGACGTGTATCTCTTCATTTATGGGCATTTCTTATCTAAAATGGTTCATTGCTATTGCAAATGGGAATGACTGAAGATTGTAGGACAAAATTAGCACAAAGTAAATATTTGTTAAATATTGGGCCATGTTCCGTGTCAAACTCAAACTACTAAGTATTTTGAAAGGGGTAATAAATTCTGTGTTGGACTGTGAAACTAATGAAACCGAAGTGAAAGACACAAGAGGACTTTAAGGAAAGATTCGTAGGACTTTTCTCTCCAGTTTCCATTCTGTACCTGGAGTGACTGGTACTTTACAGTCCACTTAAGGACTGTCTGGAATGATAAAGATTGTGCGTGGATTTTCCAAGTGAATGAGTAGGCTACTAAAACTGCAGGGCGCAGCTGTGCGTGCCTCTGCCTCCATCAGGGGTGAAAGGGAGGTGGTACATAGCATGAAAAGTACCACAAGGGAGTTGTTCAGTGAGTGCTGGGTGGGCATGTCCCCATCCCGCTAAAGGACTGGGGCTTCGGTCTGTCCCTGCTGCGCTGTATGGCTGAAGTACGAGGTGCTTAAACCTGACTGCCTGGCCAGCTCTGAAGCCCTTGTGCAATTCCTGGTAGTTCTACCTAAATTCATGAAAAATTACCATTGGTAACAATAAACCATATGACTCGGAGGCAATTAAAACTAACTAAATAAACAGCCCATGCTGCTCTATGGATTTAAATAGGAATTAACATCTTTTGGAATTATTTATATTGTTTACCTATTGGAACAATGTGAGACTGTAAACAACGGATGACTTTTGAACTGCAAGGAAGAAACATTCTTTCTGGGCAGATACTTGTCAGTTGATGTGTCCTCCTCCATTAACTCAGATTACACTTTTGAGTTTCATTCTGAAAACTATTCATTCATCTTAAGCTTTACACGTAAAACCGGAAAATGCTTGAAGAAAGGTATTGAAGAAATTTGTCTAGCAGTAAATTTTATGACTCTGGTATACAGTTCTAAGGAACCTCTTGATTGTGTCAGTTCAGGACCTTAAAAATGCAAGTGAAAAGTTTTAATTTTGCTTTAAACGCCTCGTATACCACTCTCCTAGTATTAGAGTGCTCTACTGCTTTTGGGAGCTTATCCAGCAATGAACAGAATGCTGAAGGAATTGTGAATTAATAGGTCTACTTGCTCATGAGAGGCTTGTTGCTGCTCTCGCAGTTTAGAGAGAGGGAGCTGTTGCTGAGGCCATTTGTGACTTTGCCAGGTTCAGATTTTTATCTGCTTTACCCTTCTCGGTTGGAAGCTTGCTAGGAGATTCGTGGCCCTGTATTGTGGGCTACTCCATCAGTGACCCTGCTGTGTGCCACACAGCAATTGGCCAAAAGGTGAGCAAGGTGGGTAGCTTATCCATGGACAGAAGTGAACAGAAATGAGAAAAAATGTTCTGTATTTGGTAATGTCTTATGCATGAGAGAAGAAATAAAAAAGAAATCACAGCTATCACTAGGAAGTCAAAATCATCCTGATGATTGTAAGAGTATTTGCCCCCCCCCCCCCCTTTGTGGCTTT